TTGTCCACTGTCGTCATCGTCCGTAGTTTCTTCTGCATTGGCAGAGACAGCAACAGATGACCAGGTATCGCACCTGGTAGTTTTCGCAAAGGCCGCGCTGTCAAAATCCCAGGCTGTTTGCATCTTAAAGCAAAGGTGCTGGAAAACATCAAGTATGATATGTTTGCATGCCAAGCCCAGTCACAGAGCGCCAAGCGGGTCATGATAGTGTCCTTGTGTTGTTGTGGAGCAAATCTCAAGCACTGAAAACGTTTATTCATCTAAGACTGTTGCATGACCATTGCCGCAAAGCATCTCCATGATTGTGCGGAAAACTCAATGACAGCACCAGCAGATTCCGCTTCTTGAAGAATGGCCCTTCATCTCCATGAAGGCGCAAGAACACATCATTGGGTCCTGCGCCGTCAACCCCATACAAGAACAACTGCAACATGAGTCACAAGATGTTCTTTCTATTTTGGCACCTGCATCGGACAGAACCTCCCGCAACTCTGGCGACTCGTGAATCAAATCCACTAGCCTGAGGTCAGAAGCAACAACCAACCACGGCAACAAAACAATTATGGACAATCACTGCATTTGCTTTGACAATACATGGTCTGTCTCAGATAGTCGACTGATGGCATGAAAACTTGCAACCTCAGGGCAGTTGTCGGTCCGCTGCTGAACTCTGACCATAAACCATGTGGCTCAAGAACTTCTGCCGCTTCTCCATCCATCTGAACCAGCTGCTCGGCCGAATGAAACCTAACATCAAGAGAAAAGCAAACTGGCCAGAATATCAAAGTATTTCACAATCTCCTATCCCAGCTTTCCTTCATTCTACAAGGATAGAAAACGTAATGCAACTATTTCACGACCACCCATGTTTCATTCTACAAGCAGAGAAAACATAATGCAACTGAGGAGCTAAATGCTTTCATTTGGAGTTTTTTCTTAATCTGCACTGGAAGCTTTATCAGCTCCACTTTGGGCAGGGAAGAAGCTAGCCGACTGTGGAACCGAGCCTCTCGTGTGATCGTCGCAAGCGTCTTCGTCAAAAACTTGTTTGACCCTTCTTGAACAGCTGCATCGCACATTGTGCCACAGAGGAAGCTAATATCTGCAGATTTCTTGCGAAGTCCTCCAAGCACAGCATTGGGCATGGGCGTCTCACACATGTGCGCCAGCGTGGAGTAGCCCTCATCCATATTTTGCAAGTGCAGCGGCAGCTGCGAGAAATCGACGTTGTCTTCATTCTTCCGTGCCTTCTTGGCACTGCGGATGACAGCAGAGGCCCTTCGCTTTAATCGAGGACCAGAGGATTGCTCTTGCCTGATATGCAACTCAATTAACACATGTGTACACTCGCAAGCAGGCACCATATATGCAGACAAAGTTGCGGATCATCACCAGGCTTCTGAAGAGTAGTCGGCCCTGCGAGGGCGGAGGGAAGTAAATGAGTCAACAAATCTGAAAGAATCTCTGTCTTCAAGCACACTCCAGCAGTGGCAAAACTGCTCAAGCATTTTTTGTTGGCGCTTGCACTTGCAGCTCCGGCTTCGCGTAGGCTGGTGTTTCCCCGCAACTTTCAAACAAGAAGATGAAAATCATCGACGTCATGAAGGCCATCATGATGAAATGATGGCTCTGTCCCCAGGAACCGCAGCAGGTAGACCCTAGGCCGTCTGCTTCTTCACGCTTCTGCAGCACCCAAGGGCAAACTCCTGACAAAAGATGAGGATCAATGACATAGCTGCCATAATGCTCAAGATATGTTTAGGAAGACCTGCAACGTACAGCAGCTCCTCCTTGGAGAGGTAGGCAAAGTACGCTCGCGTCACATCCTGGCCATACTAGGTCCATGCATAGTATATGGAATTCTGTTACAGAAATCTGTCGCAGAATTCCATATACTATCATGGATCTTGAATGGACTCCTTCATAGCATCCACCCAGGTCTCCTCAGAGACCGTGTCATCAATCTTCCGCAAAGCCTCGACATACTGAAGAGAGCCACAACACATGATGAGGACGTTGCTCAAACAGCATGACAGGTTTAATCAAATATTGCGACGCCTGCCACTTGGCATCCATCTTGGCCTTCTCCTGGAGAAGATCATCGACAGCCTTCGCAGATGGCTCGTGGCCTGCCAGCTGAAGCTGAATCTTCGCCAGGTTTCCGGCCTGGCACAAAAGATCTGAATTCAAAAGAACGTCCACAATATGGTATCTTACGTCAAAAAATTCCAATCCAGACGCTTTAGGGGCCTTGGTGAAAATCACGTTCTGCACCAACTCTTTCGTGGCCACTCGGTCCACCAAAGGGAAAGGCTGGGTGTCCAGTTGGGACAGCCGTGCTTTCCTCAAGTCCCATACCGCCTTTGGGTTCTCCTTGTCAGCTTTGCGCTTCGGCTTCGCCTTGCCTTTCGGCTTCGGATCACCTGAAAAGTGAAATTGTACTACGAGACATTTCCAATGAATTAATGTGGTGATGCTCAAGCTTCAAAAGCTGCAAGGCAATCATTGTGAAGCCTCCTGCAGCAAGAGTCTCCCCAGGGGGCACAGCGGCAGCGGGCTCTGCAGGCTGAGCTTTGGGGGCCGAAGGCTCGTTGCTGGATCCAGCAGCTGGCGCCGCCTCCAGCTGAGGAGGAGTGATTCCGAACCTTATATGCAAGGATTCAAAGCACCGGGCAGGACTCCCACAGCAGTTAACATAAAGGCCGCTAGGCAGCACTTGCTTCAAGAGTGCCCTGGCTTCTGGCCTCTTATCAGATATGATGGGCACGATCTTGGATCGAACTTCCTCGATCTTCGCGAAGCTCTCCTCGCTGCGGTGCTGGACCATGAGCTTGTAGAGCTTTTCCCCTGTCTGCCTGAGGTTCGGATCCAGCTTCCAGCCTCATCAATCCAGCATATATATGCAACGAAGTCAAGAATTCACTGGAGCGCCCCCATATCAATGCCAAGAGACGTCCTTCCAACAGGGCTTGGCCGATGGCGTCCTTGGCCTTCGTGGCATTGTTGTTGTAGAACAACAACACGCCTTCGGCTGACAGCCAGTCAGTCATGACTGACTCCTTCCTTGGGTGACACAATCTGATTGAAGCTCCCCACCCGAGGACATCCACACAGAATGGAGCAGTGTTTGGTGCAAAAGTTTTCTGTTTCACGGCTGCGAAATTTCTGGCATGACACATCTGGATTTAGTGGACGCAGGAAGCAGAGGAAAATACTGCCTGAGCTCCTGACTCGACGTGCTGCTCCGTCAAGATCAGCTCGGCCGAGACAGTGGCGACGGAGGCGTTTTCGAACCACTTCTTCAACAAGTCCTGCCTGATCGTGCCTTTGGCCTCCCATGCAACCAGCATTTCGAAAGACACTCTGTTCGCGTTGCCGCAGCAACGCCGACAACTCTGCGTCGTCTTGGCAACCTCCTCTGGCGTAGCCTGAGCTTATGATTCGGCTGCAATATTCCTGAACACCAATATGGGCACCCAAATCATCCAAGTTGCGTCCTCCCACTTCTTCTTGTCAGCACCAAGGACTTTTGTGGAAGCGTCGGACGGGACTTCCGAAGGGGTTGGCTCCGACGGGGGCCGGACTTGGAAAGTAGCTGGCGGGGGGGTCTCGGCCACAGCCTTTGCAGCTGGGGTCACAGGCTGCGTGGCAACCCCGGAGTTCTCGGTCTCAGTCACGGAAGTAGCAGGCGAGCTGGCCTGCTCGAAGGCGCTGGAGCGCCTCAGCGCTGGGGGCCGGGTTGGCTCCTTGTCCGCCTTTTCGTCCTCCGTTTCCTTACCAAGCTGGCGCCTCAGCTCCAGCACTTGGGCTCTCTTGGCTTTCAAAAGCTCCTCTGTCTCCTTGCGCTTGCGGTCCTGCTCAAGCTTTTGCGCCCGGCGGCGAGCCTCCTCCTGCTCCCGCTTAGCCCGCTCCTCTTCCAGAGCCCTTTGCTCAGCCTCCTCACGTTTCTTCTTCTCAGCTGCTTCGCGAGCTCTCTGCTCCTCCAGCTCCCGGTAGAGCTTCGCCTGCCGCTCGTGTTCCTGTCGCTGCTTCTCCAGCAGCAGCTCCTCCTGCTTCTCCTGAAGAAGGCGTTGGAGCTTGTCGCCCTCCTCCTGCAGGCGTTTCAGCTCCAGCTGCTGCTGAGCCAAGTGTTCGTCCGCAGGCTCTTGGAGCTGCTGGGGCTCTTCCTGACTGCACCGAGTCTTCTTCAGAGAAGACTCCGTCTCC